TTTTTTTTTTTTTCTCTCTATATCTAGTTTTTATCTGCAAGTGACTTGTTTTTGTTTTTGCTTAATCTGCTAAGCTTGTGATTAACGCCTAGTGCCGTGTGCGCCTGGTAAGTCCAAGTCTGTGCCGGGAAATTAGTTTCTGGCCAGTGACTCACCTGAGGTGGTCATCTTTGAAAAAAAAAAATAAATAAATAATTGTAGTCGCCAGCGTTTGTTTGTAAGTCGAGCTATGAATATTTGGTTTACCTTTTGTTGAGCTCTCTGTAGGTGGTGGTTTATTGTTTATTGAGGAATTTGTGATTTTTCATAATTTCAGGTATTAATGTGTTTTTACTTCATTCTTGTTAGAAGATGCTTTATATTCTATCTGCTATATATATAATTTATCATTTCATAGTTTATTATGATGTATATGTCATGAGATTTGTGTATGCCACCTTATATTATACTATTAATTTAAGAGGTTTTGGACCAAATGGGAGAATATAAGAATATGTGGCTCGAAAGCATTGGACTCACAATTAGTGATGTTATTGGCCTAACATTTTAGTTAATGGTTAAACAAATCCGAGTCATTAATTTATATATTTGATGGACATTCCAGATTTAAAGACACCTCTATATAAATTAGTCTTCAAGAGAAACTAGTTTAGATCAAGAGAATCAAGAGAGTCCCGTGCACTCATTAAGAGCACAATTACATCGTCTTCCACATCAAGTAAATATTTTGTGTACACCAAATTATTGATTCAAGATCTGTAATTTATGCTTACATGTAATTGTTATCATAAGTGGGCTGCAGAGTAAGTCAGAAATAGGGAAAATAATTGTGAGCAACCTGAACTATACGTGTTTTTGGGATTTACAACCTAAAGTATTTTTTTGGTAAAATGCAACATGAACTACATACAGAATCACTATTTGCACCTTCGACCACATCTTAACCATACACGTGCCATTTTTTGCTATTGATCGGACGGTCAAGATGTGGTCGAGGGTGCAAATAGTGATTGTGTATGTAGTTCAGGTTGCATTTTACCAAAAAAAATACTTTATGTTGCAAATCTCAAAAACACGTATAGTTCAGGTTGCTCACAATTATTTTCCCTCAGAAATATATAGAAAAATTTACAAAATTAGTATAGATGAACACTTAAAGGAACAATTAACTCTCCCAATTCATCCCCCAATTAAATTCAAATTTACACAATATTTATGATCTTTAGCAGTCATTTAAAAAATCACCACAACACTGCTAAAAAAAAATAAAAATAAAAAATTATGGTCCCTTACATAATGCTGCAGAAAACAAATAAACCATTCAATAAACAAGGATAAATACTTTCAGACAACCAGTACCTGTTTGATAAATACATTCAATAAACCCCCATTAACAAATTTAAGTTCATATTTTGTTAATTGTTTGGTAAAATATTAATTTTTAAAATTCAGTACGACTTTAATTATAGATATCCCCCTATATATTAATTCAGAACGCGCTGAGCCTACGTGGCTGCTTCTGGTGCTTCGGAATCCTATGTAGTAAAATTACATGCTTCGTTATTAGGCCCTATATATTAATTCAGAACGCGCTGAGCCTACGTGGCTGCTTCTGGTGCTTCGGAATCCTATGTAGTAAAATTACATGCTTCGTTATTAGGCTTGAGTAAATTTTAATTTAATTCCAAACTAAAAATAATTAGGTTCGGATTACCATAAATATGTTGATTATTTATGGTCATGTTACATGTATTAATTGTATTTTAATATCATTCTTTATTATAACTATTAAAGTGTATATATATTTTAAATGTTAATAACTTTTGTATTTTTTATCAGTTTTACATATGTAATATATCATATTAATCTTCTTTTGATAAGCTTCGATTTAACATCAATATTGTATGTATAAAAAAATAATTTATATTTATCTTTATAACAATAATAAAATTATTTTTAATATTAATTAGAAAAATAAAATTATTTATCAACTAATATATTTATATTTCAAGTAGTTATATGATATAAGTTATAAAAACTAATATAATATAACACATGTAAGTCATAAGTAACACATATCATTCTAAAATATATAGTAATATATTTTTTTTGTAAAAAAGTAAACTAAATTTTAATATAATTTTCTCATTAAATTTTAAAATTTAAGAATAATTTTTAACAAGCACCCGTTGTACTAGTTTTAATTAATTTGTCACAACTAAAACAATAATAAAAATCAATTGTAGATGATAATACTTAATACTTAAATACATATACATAAAAATTATTATTTTAGGTGGAGTTGTATTGATTATAAAGATAAGTTGTGTTGTAAGAACATCTTGAATAATAAACTCGATAAACCTTATTTTTCATTTTTCAATGCGCTACATCACCCAAAACCTTAATTTTACTCTTACATGTCCAAACAACTAAGTGTAGCAGAGATGCGGATGTTGCGTTGGTTTTGCGGGCACACAAGAAGAGATAGAATCCGAAATGAGGATATTCGTGATAGGGTCGGGGTGGCCCCAATTGAGGAGAAATTGGTTCAACATCGGCTGAGGTGGTTTGGACATGTCCAACGGAGGCCTCCTGATGCACCGGTGCGCAGGGGAGTTCTACAGCGGGTCGATGTTGTTAAGAGAGGTAGAGGTCGGCCTAAACTCATTTGGGAAGAGTCGGTTCAGAGAGACCTTAAAGATTGGAATATCTCCAAGGATTTAGCGGTGGATAGGAGCGCTTAGAGACTAGCGATCAACGTGCCGGAACCGTGACTTTTGCTCCTTTCTCTTTGCTCCAATCTTTTTTTTTTTTTTACTACTGTTTCTATTTGAGTTTCATCTCTAGCCTACCCCAACTTGTTTGGGACTAAAAGGCTTTGTTATTGACTCCCTTGTTTCACACTTACTTTAATTTAAAATTATTAATGTCATCTTTCTCGCTGTCTTTTTCTTTATTTTTATAGTTATTTAATACCCACTTGCAGGTTTTTGTGAGGTTTGAAATTTCAAACCTGGTTTAAAAACACAACTCAAACTTCTTCGTAAACCTCAGAGATTTGTGTTTTTAAACCTCTCCGAAACTTACTACTTAAAGATGTCTGAAGATCGAGTTGTGCATAAATCATTTTTAATTATTACGTTGGGTTGGGTTATAAAGATGGTATGAGGAAATAAATGCCAGAATCATTTAACATCTCACATATATTGGAAAAAAATAAAAAAAATATAAAAAGAAAATACCATATAGTGCAAAAAGCTCATAGGCAGCTAGCTACCAGCATAATTTATCTTCAAGTTGAATGTCAGGCTGTGCGAGCAGATCGCTTAGGAAGTAGTTCTCACTATTACCCTTCGTTCCAGAAAACAAAAAAAAGCACACTGGGAATTTTCAATCACATTTGACGATTTAATCTTCTCTACGCCTCTTGGAATTGCCAAACGATTCCCACTTCTTGTGATCAAGGGAGCTAAGATCCTGGAGCTCCGCTATGGTGAGCAGATACTGAGTCAGCTTCACAAGTTCTTGATCAGTTTCTCGGTTTACATGGGCTTTTCTGAAGGGTTTTATGGTCAAGCCATTCTGGGGGTTCATCACGAAATTCCTCCGCAAATCATCGAACATTATGGTGTTCTTGGCACTGTAGTACTGTACATGGCATATACCAGATCAACATTGTACCATATTCACTAATGCAAAATCTCATTAATAAACATAATAGATTATTACGTCACTTGGTCCCTCTCTACAATACTCGATCATTCTCAACAAGATAAATGTCCAACTTACCTGATGCAACTTCAAAGTATAGAAAAAACTAGGAATTCATTTTTTCCATTTTCATATATCAATAGAAACTTTTGAAGATTACATTTCGAACTATAGAATATGTAAGTTTCAAATTTTGCAGCATGAATGTAAACAATCTCATTCAAGGGATCAAGTCCGTAAATAAATCATTTCTGGACTCTTGCAAAATTCCCCCCCAATAGAGTTAATGGATCAATTAATATGAAGTTGAACGAAATTACCAAAAAATATAGTGCTTCTAACAAATAAAATAGAGCCCTTTCAAATAATTTCCACAAGAAGACATTCTAACATAACGACATGTGGATCACAAGGAGATTCATAACAAATATTGCATTCTAGACTTCTTATGATTATTGTAGTTTTAAACTTCTGTTCATAAATTGCATTCTAGACTTCTTATGATTATTGTAGTTTTAAACTTCTGTTCATGTGAACTTATGGAAACAATAAATAGTAAAATCAGTGTGAAATTCAAACCTCGGGGAAATGAGCCCAAATCATGCCAAGGGGTTTACAATTGGTGACCCCATGAGTATCTAAATGGACACTGATCATGGCTGCATGGTCCAAAAGGGCAGTTATTTTGTAGTTAGGATTAGTCAACACTCCAAGCTCCTCCATCTTCTTTTCAACCCACCTCATGCTGTCAAACATAGAAGCACATATCATTTTGGCAACAGTACATTCATCGAATCTACTAGACAGTGCTTTATTCTAGAGCAAGTGTAATCGTATAAAAAAGATTTTAGCAAAAAGGTCGGTCACACACATTTTCATTTATCCATGGTATCAGCCAATTTCATTTTCATACAGGTGACACAGTGATTAGCCTACCCCAACTTGTTTGGGACTAAAAAGGCTATGTTGTTGTTGTACAGGTGACACAGAGATTAAAATAAAAAAAAAATA